AAATCCAGCTCTGTTCTATACCTAGAGCCAAGGATGGATGCTGGGGGCCACACTGAGAAGGGTCAGGTTGCTCTTGCTCACCTGCAAAGCTGTGTGGGCTCCCGGATCCAAAATCCTCCAGAGCACATCCAGCTGCTGCTGCTGGAATTCCTCCTCACAATTCACCACATGCACGATGCTGCAGCAACTGCTCTGGCCTTTGGCCTGCAGCAGAGCACAACAGGGAGCTCAATCCCATTGTCTACCAGAAGGATGGGACACTTGGGAGGCGAGAGGTGGGCAGTGCTGTGGGGTCACTCACTGGGCACTGCAGAACAGCTTCCTGCAGCTCAGCCAAGGACTGCAGTGTCCTCTCTGTCACTGAAAGAAGGAGGGACACACAGTGGGACACGGCATTCTCCACCCCCCAGCATCGGGTCTGCCCCAGCATCAAACCAGACTGAAGGAGAACAAGAGGGGCAAGCCATTTGTGTCCACCACCCCACCGTATTTTTGTTAAAAACAGCTGCAAGGAAACAGGTCTGTTTGCACCCATTCCACCCCCACTGCCACACCTGAGCTGCTGTACATGTGAGGCTCACCGAGAAGCACATCTAGATTGGGGTCGTAGCCCAGCAAGCCTTGCTGCTCTACGAAGCTCTTCAGGTGCACCTTAGAGATGACACCCTCGGCTGTGCCTGGCCCCTGCTCGCAGGCTGTGGTACAGGGGCACCGGCCCAGCGCTGCCTTCAAGGCCGAGATGGCATCAGCGAGGGCCGAGCCGCCGGAGCCGGAGGGCCAGCAGACGCGGAGCTGCCGCAGGACGTCCCAGCTCCTCTCCTCGCTGAGGGCAGGGACCAGGCGCACGTCGACCCTGCGAGAGAGGGCGAGGCAGGCGCTGGGAGCGGCGGGCGCTGCGGCGGGGCCGGGAGCAGGCCGGGCCGGAGCACTCACCCCTGGGCGCGCAGCAGCTGGGCCAGATGGTCGGCCAGCAGGACGGAGCGGAGGTGGCGGGGCCGCAAGGCCGCGGGGCTGCTGCGCAGGGCCGGGCAGTGCAGCACCACGCAGCCCGTGCGCGGCCCCGCCGCGGGGGCGGGCGGGCCGGGCAGAGCCCCCAGCAGGCGCTGGAAGGCCTCGGGCCGGTGCACCTGCACCGCCAGCCCCGCCGGCGTCTGCCGGCAGACCCGCAGCGGCAGCACCGCCGGGCCCCGCAGCGACGGCACCACCGACACGGCCTCGGGGGGCACCTGCGGGCGGAGGGCGAGGAGCGGTCCGGGCTGCACGGGCACAGGACGGCTCCAGCCCCGGCCCCATCAAACCGCTCCCGCAAATCCCGCTCCCGGCCCAGCCCTGCCCACGCCGCCGCGGCCTACCTGCCCGCCGGGAAAGGCGGCGCTCAGCGCGGCCCGCGGCGCCAGGAAGTCCCGGTGGCGCAGGTTGCGGGCGCCGCTCTCCTTCACCCAGAGCGCGGCGGGCCGCCCCAGGGCCCCGTTCAGCGCCCGCAGCGTCGCCGCTACCCCCGGGCGGCCCCCGTCCATATCCTCGCCCATCGCGCGCTTCCGCCACCGCGGCCGGAAATGATGTCACGCCTCTCCCAGAAGGCCGCCATGTTGCGTGCGGCGCTCCCGGGCGGCCATCTTGGTGACGGGCGCCTTGGCCGGGCAGGGCGGCCATCTTGGGGGGGGAACGGGCGCGAGCCGCCATGGTGGGTGTGGCGGGCAGCGGGCGCCGCCATGATGGGTGTGTCAGGGCAGGACCACAGGGCTGCAAGCCGGCACCCCGAATGGCCCGAGAGGGTGTCAGTCCCACTCAGCCTCACCCCAGCGGGGCCATGGTGTCACCCTGAGGCGTGTAGGAGTGGTGTCCTCTCTTCTCCAAAGCTGGGGAGCCCAGACCTAAAACCCTCAGGAACCGAGCGGGAGCAGGAGACAGAGACCGTGCCAGGGTCAGAGAGGCCTGGGCAGAAAGGGCTGCTTGGGGCAGAGAGTGCAGCACAGCCATGGACATGGCCCAGCCCAGAGCACAGCCTGGCGGTCCCTGGGCTGTTAGGGACAACAAGGGGCCCTGGGAGCAGGTCCAGGGCCTGAACTGTGGTGGGAAAGGAGGTTTGGATGGGCTGGAGTGTGTGAGGCAGACCCCAGCTGTGGGCATGGTGTCACTGGCAGACCCTGGCTGGGCAGTCCACCCTGTCCACATGAGCCCCAGGGCTTGGCTGGACTCTGATACGATGGCTGAGGAACATCAGCAGCACCCATGTGCCTGCAGCACGGCCTCTGTGGCACAGCGATGAGCAGCTGTGTGTGCACGCCTTGCCATGTTCTCCAGGCCTGCCCCAGAGGGCTGCTCTCCTGTCCAGCACATGAGCAGTGTCCTGCTTATCAGCCCCAGGAAGAAGGAAGTGGAAGCGATTAGATCACGCCATCGAGGTCTTGATTACATCTGCAGAGCTGAGCTGCTCCACAGCAATGGTTGAAGTACAGATCTGACAGCTCAGTGCTGGCCAGCTCCCTGACAAGTGTGCCAGTGGCTGCTGAACTGGGGACAGGGCAAGGGCTCAGCACAGCACTGACAGGAGCAGGAAGCACCAAACCCCACCACAGCACAGAGTTAGGGACCTCCCTTTCTGTTGTGCCCTTCCTGCCCTCTCCGTTAGGCAGGTGGGGGGTGGGGGGAAAGGAAGGAGCTCTGCCCGCAGGGCCCAAACCGGTTCCTCCAGGGCTTGTGTACGTGGGGGAAAAGGGGGGGGAGCAGGGTGAGGGCAGATCCTGCCGCATGGGCTCTTCCAGGAATGCAACAACTGCCTTTGGGGCTCCTCAGGCTGCTCTGGAGCCCCAGGGCTGCAGCCCACAGGCAGTGAGAATCTGCAGCCCCAGGGCAAGAGTGAGAACACGTCCCCCAGCCGTGCCATGGTGGGGTGCTCCCTGCACCACCCACAGCCAAGAGGTGATCTGAGAATCGCTGCTCACACCAGACCAACTGCTGACTGTCCGCAGGGCAGGAGCTGCCCAGGACCCTGCCCGGCCAGGGGGACTTGCTGGACCTTCTGTCACCACTCAAGGTGGGTCCAGGCTGGATCCGTCCACATCCCCAGAGCGTCCCGCAGGCCACCCACGTGGGCCCCGGCAGCGCACTGGCCTGGGGAGGGCTCTCGGAGGCGCCGAAAGAGCTTTGGAAAGACACGACATCCCCGATGGCTCTCTGGCTGCTGGCTCAGCGGGAGTGATCGTGTCATTCCAAAGCCATCTCTCTCTCAGGGGTTGGATCCTGCCATCCCTGCAGGGACTGGGGTGCTGCGAGGGCCAGGGAGAGCCGGCATGGGCAGGAAGTTTGGCAGCGTCACAGCCTGCACCACATCCACGCTGTGGCCAAGCAGCCATGCTCCCCACACTCTCCCAGGAAGCCAGCTGCTATTTTTAGCTGTTGGGGGCACAAGAAACAGAAGCGCCCCCCAGCCCGGTGCAGGGGCTGAGCCACGAGGCTGGGCACGGGCGATCCCCCATCCTGACACCCCCTTCGTCTTCCAGCGTGGCCCAGGCGCTGCCCCAGCCCCGGCAGGGTTGCAGTGGGACACGCGGCTCGTGCCCAGCACGGGCAGGTGGGCAGGGGTGCGGCGAGGCGGTGGCGGGAGCGCGGGTAACGAAACCCCAGGGCAGCTGGGCACAGCGGGAACAGCTGCTTTTGGGATTCCGTTGCCCGCGCTGGCGCCGCGGAGGGATGGGCACGGGCACCACGGCCATGCCCCCCCGAGCCTGGGGCAGTCGGTGGGCCAGGAGGGGAAAGGGCGACTTACCGGCGGAGAGCGGGGCGGAGGAGGTGAGTGGGAGCCACCCCCGGGCCGTTGTGATCGGGGGTGCCGGCAGAGACCGGGCTTGTGCTGCCGGCTCCCCCCGCACCGCGGGCCGGGTGCCAAGGGGAGGGCGGCACGGCCGAGCCAAAAGGAAACGGCTCCGAACAAAGCCCCGGTGGGGCTGGAGCAACTGGTGCCAGCCCATCAGCCCCCGACGGGGCCCGGAAACACGAGCCGTCCCCGAGGGAGGGCACCTGCCCCGGCACCTGCGCCTAGAGGCGGCACGGCCCGGCCCGGCCCCGCCGCTGCCAGCGCCTCTGGCCCCCGCCCCGGCGAGGGGCATGGGGGGAACTCAAACCGCGTGGGGAACCCCACCGGCCCCGTGCGGAGCTCCCGCGGTGCTGCCCGGGGATCCCGGGGACCCTGCCCTGGCCGAGGCTGCCGGCTGTGGGAATTCCTGATGCCTGCGGCACGGCACGGTGGCGGGAAATGCTCCGCCGCTACTGCCAGGGAGCTTCCCGGTAGCCCCCGCAATGTCAGGCCACGGCTTACCGGGGGGGTGACACAGGTGGGGGACGCGGGTCCCCTGTCCCAGGGCACCTCTGAGCCCGCAGTGCCACCGGCCGCACCGAGCGCGGCAAGAGGAGGGTGAGAGTGCAGCGGAAGGTGCCGGCGGCGGCTCCGGGCGTTCAGCCCCGACTGGCACCAGCCGCCCGCAGCGGGGCACAGGGGGAACCGGGGCGCTGTGCCGACCCCGGTGCAGCGCAGGGGCACCGGCAGGGCCGGGCCAGGAGCGCAGCCGAGACCGGGCCCGCTCTCTCCCGCCGAGGGAGCCGCCCGCTCCCCTCTCACCTCCGGCCCCGCAGCCTTCGGCACAGCAGCCCGGGCCGGTCCGCAGCCCCTCCCGTCGGCGGGGTCGGGGCGGCGGGGTCGGGGAGGCTCCAACGGGACACCCCGCGCCCCTCTCCCGCCGTGCCGCTCCCGCCCCGCCACCGGCCGCTTTCGGTTTTGCTCCGGCGCCCACCTGGGCTCTGCAGGTCGGGGCGCGCCCGGGCCCGGAGGCAGCGGGTGTGTGAGTGTCGCCGCCCTCCCGTCCCTCAGGACCCCGGGCGGGGGGACCCCGAGGGCTCCCGGGAGCCCCGCTCCGATCCCGCTCTCCCGGTGGCGCTGTCCCGGCCCCGGCCGCCGGGGGGCGGTAGCGGCGGGGGCGGGGCCGCCCGGCGGTTCCGGCGGGGTCGCGGCCATGGCGGCGCTGCGGCGGCTCGTGCCGGCGGTGGGGCGGGCGGCGGGCAGGTACCGGCACCGGCAACCGGCACCGTCGCTGCCCTGCGACCGGGGGAGGTGCCTGTGGGATGCCGCAGGGTGTCCGGGAGGTGTCCGTGGGTCCCCCGTGTCCCAGCTGCTCACTCTCCCCGCAGAGCGCCGTACCGGGGTCACCGGCTCACTCCGGCGGACGATGAGATGTACCAGCGGACGCGGGTGATGGTGCTGGAGCCGGAGTCCCCCAACATCATGTTCATCGAGGGCTACAGCACCCGCGGCTTCACCATCAGCGGAGACCTGGTGGTGGGGCCCTGCGCCGTGCTGCCCCGCAGCATCCTCCAGTGGAACGTGAGTGCCGGGCGGCGGGGCCGGGGCTGCCGGGGCCACCGCGCGCCGGGGGCAGCCACCCTCAACGGGCGCCGTGTCCCCGCAGGTTGGCTCCCACCGGGACATCTCGCTCGAGAGTCTGTCGCTGTTCCGGCTGCTGGAGCCCCAGATAGGTACGCGGGGCAGGAGGGGCGCGGGCTGCCCCCCTTGGGGCTCCTGTCGGGGTGGCTGCGCGGGAGCCATTGGTGCCCGCAGGAGGGGCAGCTCTGGGCCGAGGCAGCTCCGATGCTGCCCTGCCCACCCTTGTCTTGCCCTGCCTGCAGAGATCCTGGTGCTGGGCACGGGGGACAGGGTGGAGCGGCTGCACCCTGCCATGATGAAGCAGATGCGGGAGCGCGGGATTGCTGTGGAGGTGCAGGACACGGTAAGGGCGAGCCCAGGCAGCACCCCATTGAAAAGGAGGGAGGGGGTCATGTGCCGTGTGGGGAAGGGCTGAGTCTCCCTTCTCCTTTCTGAGGGCTGGAGCTTCACTCACTCCCTTTTCTATTCACAGGCGAATGCATGTGCAACCTTCAACTTCCTGATGAATGAAAGGCGCGTGGTGGCTGCTGGGCTCATCCCCCCGCGGGGCACCTGAGCCGTGTGGGCACTGCCTGCCGTGCCCAGGGGCTGAGTGGTTCCTCCCCTGCCCGCCTGAAGCCCTCGAGGATCACTGCTCCATGGTGAACTGTGGAGCTGTCGGCTCAGTGATGGCTCTGCACACAGGAGAGATGTAAAATACATGGGCTTAGCTCCTCCCTGCAGTCTCTGGCTTCTTGGCCTCCCTGCCCAGGCTGGGCTGGAGACTGTGGGGCACAGCACAAGGCTTTGCTGGTGGCACTGTTCCCACGGCCCTGCCAAGGTCATGTCCCACACCTTGGCAGCAAGAAGCCTCACCTGAGGGAGGGTGGAGGCTGGTGGGGTGAGCTGTACATCCCCAGGCACATCTGGAGCTCCACAAGGAAAATACATATAAATTGGTAGTACAAGAAATTGTGTGGTAGTTAATGCACAATGCATTGAGGCTGTAACAAATTGAGGGGGCATGAGCTCACCTTGGGCACTGGGCAGCATGTGTGCTGGTGGGATGCCATGTGCCAGCAGCTTCCTGAGCACAGCCAGCATAAGCAACTTGTGTGTCCCAGCTGGTGCTGGCCTGGCTTGGGCTCTCCAGTGGAGCTTTGTACCACCCTAGCACGGATGTCCCTTGGGCAGTGTTGGTCCAAGGGTGCTGCATCCCCTTTCACTAAAGGCTCAAGCTCCAGCAGGGGACTTGGAAAGGGTCCCTGTCCTGAACTGGATGGTTCATAGTTGGGGATGTCACCTCTGGGGAAGAGAGTACATGTACCTTGTGTACATGGAAGCCTCATGCCCTGAACTCTGCCACCTTGGCAGGCAGAGGCAGGGGATGCAGCTGCAAGGTTTGGGTGGCTTTGCTTAGCGAGTGTCTCACAGGTAAACCTGCCAAACCAGGGAAGGTTGCCCTGCTCAGGCCTGCAGAAATGCAGATCAGCTCCTTTATAAACTTGTGCCCCTCAGTGCAGCATTGCTCACCTTCCAGCAAACAACTGCTCTGCTGGAGCCTGGGCAGACACTCCACGGTGAACAGCCCAAGGGGGTGCAGCCTGGGTTTGGCAGCTGCCAGCAGGAGATAATGGCAATGTAAAACCGTTTGCTTTCTTACCCAGCAGTCCAGCCTTTGTTTTCTGCTCTCAGGAAGGATTTGTAAAGAAGCCACACTGTGTTACCCACTCAGCTCTGTCTCAGGCTCTCCCCTCCCTGTCACCCTTCACATGCACACAGTCCCTTCAGAGGTTATCAGCTGCCTCTGACAGTGTGGGAAGCAAGGGACAGAGCCAAGGATGGAGAGCAAGGGAGGTGAAGAAGGAAGAGGGGCTCTGGGCTGACAGCAACTGCACATATTTTAATATTTTTATTGTAAAACATGGCCAACACGTGCAAGGCTCCAGCCCAGGCTCACGGCTCCGGGGTGGAAGGCGGGCCCCGCGGGTGGTCAGGAAGCAGCCAAGGGACAGCAGGAGCTCCAGGCAGCCCAGAATAATGGCACTTCTGCAGCAAGAGCAGCTCCCACGCAGAGCAGCGCAGGGCTGGTGGCACAGGGACAGACACAGATCTCTCAGAAGAGGCGTTTCTCATACCTGTGAGGGAAGCAGCACCAGGGAGCCCCTTTACGACCCACCTCACTCAGGTCAGGGACCAAGGTGCAGTGTGGGACAGATCCTGCCAGCCCAGGGAGGGGAACAGCCTCAGCCCCCCGACAGGCCAGGGCTTGGCCCGGCTGTGGTGCCACGGCAAGCCCATGAATGGCACGCCAAGGGCATGGCAGCTGAGGTACAGGATGGCTGTTCCTCACCCCCAACACCCCCCAGGGTGACAAGGCTCCTGCCAGAAGCACTTACGAGTGGAGGCCGTGCACCCCTCCTTCAACTTGGGCAGACGTTGTCCTCTTCTCAAACTTCAGCTCTCCCGAGTACATCATGGCTCTGAGGGGGAAGGACACCTGTCACAAGCCAGGCAGAGTCCAGGGAGGACAGTGCTCTGGCACATGCTCAGCTGGAACATCTGGAATGAGGGTCACTGGTTCCTCCAGCTGTGGCCAGAATGGTCTTTGCTGTGCTCCCAAAAACACACTAGGTAATGTAATCCCAACATTTTGAGCCCAGCCAGCTGAATATGCCACAACAGACCATACTCTTGTGTCCCTGAGGCTGGCAGATCCATTATGCACTGCCCGCTGGAGATGAGGGAAGGGAGCTACAAATTATCCAGAACACACCACAGCTTGAGGACAGCTGCACAGGGACTCAGACAGCAGCACCATGACCTGACCAGAACAAAGGCATGGGGAAGCACTCACCGGACTTGGGTCAGGCTCTTGGCACCGATATCCTGGCAGGAATGCTGGATCCCAGCAATAAGGTATGGAATGAATTTATGGATAGAGCCTTTGTCTTGCACTGCACCGGAGACCCCCTGGGCCACTTTAATTTTGTCTGTCTCACTGCATGAAAGCACAAATCAAGGGTATTTGTGAAGCACAGAAACCCCAAAAGCTTGATCTGCTGCCCCAAAGCACCATCTCTGACCTGAAATACCGATTCTGGCTGCCCAAGTTCTTGTCCATGGCATCTAGGGAGCCCATGCCGCGGTATTTCTTCAGCCTGATGCCATCCGAGAAGAAGTACTCGCCTGGGGCCTCCGTGGTGGCAGCCAGGAGAGAGCCCATCATCACTGGCACAAGATATCACCAGGAACAGCACATCAGTGACAGTGGCTGCAAACCCCCTCAGGGTTCCTGGGCACAGCACCGGCTGCAGCCACCTGCAGGTAAAGGCCCTCGTGCCCAGCGTGGTGCCATATGGAAACACCTCCTGGGAGATTGCCCACGGTGTGCTCACCTGTGGAGGCCCCCAGTGCCAGGGCCTTGGCGATGTGCCCGACCGTCTGGATGCCGCCGTCGGCGATGACGGGGACGCCGAACCTGCGCGCGTACTCGGACACCTTGTACACCGCCGTGGCCTGGGGACGGCCGCACGCCAGCACTGCGGGACAGACACAGCTCAGCCCCAGCCCGCAGCACGGCCCCGTCCCAGCAGGCTCGCTCAGGCTCCCTGCACACGCATGCTCCGGCACTCAGAACGCACAAATCCCCGGGCGCTCCTTCCCTGGGCCAAGTCCAAGAGAAGCGGGTGCCCGGGAGGTGCCTGCTGAGACGTCCTCACAGCCCTTGGCTCCAAAAAGCTGGGAGTGACCTCGGGACTGGGGGCTTTGGTTGGATGCCTGGGATCAGACAAGACTCGTGGCTCAATCCTTGTGCACGGCAGACACATGGGGAGCTTGGGAAGGAAATAAAGCAAATTCCAAAAGCCCCTCTCCAAAGCATCCCAGGCATGTAGCCATGTCCCACTGCTGGCTCTCTCCTGCAGCTGCCAGACCCCTTGTCCATGTACCCAGCATCTGTAAGATGTGCCTCTTGAATGGAAAGGCAGTTGGCTGGGAGAGAGCTCATATGCCTGTATATGCTATAGATATAAATATATCTATGCATACAGGTCTGCATATACACACAAACACACATGCAGCAGTGGAAAAGGAAAGAGGCAGAATGGTTTGGTAATAATTTATCTTCCTGCCCTGCAATGGGTTCCATCAAGTTTAGCTGCCCCATGAGGAGAGAGTTCTTAGCTTTGGATTTACTTGTTCTTCCCAGTCAGTAGCAGTTAAGCTTCCCGTTATGTGAGGAAAACCAGCACAAGGCATGTCTTGTAAGATGTTTGTCAGCCACAGGCATGCAAGAACACTGAGATAAGCTTCTCTCAGGGAGACGTCCCTTCCCCACCATCAACTGGAAGCCTTTTCTTCAGTCATGGTTAGTCCCATAAACTGGGAAAGATTAAGGTGATTCAGTATTAGTACTCTGGAGTGTAAAATCCAGGTTTGGTTCAGCCTGCACGGCGGCAGTGCTGGCAGCATGTCCCTGGCAGAGGCCTGCAGGGGCCAGGAGGATACAGTTTCTCTACTCCCTGCACTCAGCAGCAGCTGCTGAGGGAGGGCAGCCAGACTGCAGGCTGAGATTGTGACAGAACTAAATTTAATCAGACCCCAGCGTTCAGCTCAGGCTCAGCCAGCCAGGGAGAGGCTGCCAGCTTCATCATCAATGCCCTTAAAGAGATGGTCTTGCAGTTCTGCACTGCTGAAGGCCACAGTGCAGCTGCAAAATGCTGCTGTGGAAGAGCTCTGTGGAGAGAAACACCCATTTCTGAAGGGTTTTGAGTCCAGGGTCTATGGGAGTGTGCCACAGACAGTGCAGGGCCTGCAGAAACCTCTCAAGCACAGAGACCAGCCCTTTTAAGGCACAGCTGGGCTCAGGGCCCCTGGGAGCATCGTGCCTCTCGAGTGTCCCAGTGCCCAGTGCCACAGCCCCGCAGCGCAGGCGTCCCAAGCGGGGTTCTGAGCACACACACACATCACACGGTCAGGGAAGGGTTTGTCCCTTTCAGTGCATCGGCAAAGGGTGGCCCTACAAAATCATCTGCTAGAGAAAACCTGCCAGGATCTGCAAGAGTAAACCTCTCCCTTTGGGGTGTGTCAGAACTAGGGGCAAGGACAAAGCCTAAGGCTTCCCTTGCAGGGGCTGCTTGGTCAGAGCATCAGAGCAGAGAACACTGCACCCTGGGCTGGGCAGGCAGAAGCTCCTTCTCTCCACAGGACTTGGTGGGGAGAAGATGGAACACAGCTGCCAAGGTGGCCAGGTGCAGTGAAGTCCCTCTGTAACTCAGGGAAGCCAGCTCCAGGGGAAGGGAGCACAACTTGCCCAGAATTAGAGCTACATTTTGAGCACGATCAAGAACTGCTCAGGGATCACCTCCCAGTACTGGATCAGCAGGAGCATGCCTGGTTAGGGATCCGAAAGGCACAATCAGGCTCCTAACTGGAATTTGGAGTGGAGACAGGACAGGCCTGAGTTCCCTCAGCTTGGACAGTTCAGATTCTGCTTTATGAAATCAGAGAGGCTTCTCAGATTTAATTTTAGATTCAAAACCAGTATCCAAAGCCACAAAACCCCAAGTGCATCTACAGCTAAATTATTCTCAAACAAGCAGTAGGGCCATGTGCAGCCAAATCAGGGTCCTGCTTCAAGACACATAATTAGGGTTGGGAACAGGGCAAGTGACTTACTATAGGTGCCCGTGACAGTAGAAGGGCATTTGGGGCTGTGGGACTTTAGGTCTGGAGGGATCTTTGGAGCAGCTAAACAAAAACAAACACACACATTTTAGAGACAGAAGAACAGCAGCAGAACAAAGGACCCCAGAAGTGACCTGCTACTGGGCAGAGCATATGGTGGGACAGAGCTGACTTTGAGACCCTTCCTAGCCTGAGCCAAGCCAGAGGCCAGATCCAAGGCAGCCAGGCCTGGCTGTGCACAGCGCATGCTCGCCCTACCCCAGCAGCCACCAGAGAGGTGACCCCAACCCCAAAAAGCCAGAGCTCTTTCCCTTAACAGTGCCAAAAACCTGGGAAGCTGCAGGCAAAGAGTTCTGCAACCACATCTCCTGTGAAGTGCCACATTCTGCCTCTGCTCTACACCTTCACCAAACACAGCACCCAGCCCCATTCCCAGGGCAGCTGGAGGAAGCCCAGGGACATTCACCACTCTGCAGATCAGAGCATGCCTTTGCCTCAGAGCCAGGGCAGGGCATGTGTGTCCTGGCTCTGCTCTGGCTATGGAAGTGTCAGCCCAAGGATACTCCTCCCTCCTCAGAAAGCTGACCTGAGACACTGCCCTGACTGGAACCCCTGCAGCCAGGCAAAGCAGGAACACAGCACAGGTCCAGGGCTGCTCACAGGCTCCATGCTGGAAAGGGCAGAGCCAATGCAGCTCCTACAGCCAAGCAGCTGCTCATTTACTGCCTCCTGTGGCACAGACCAAGGACCAAAACAGTGAGGGGCTGTGCTGGTGGACTGCAGCACCTTGCTGCACCACTCTGCACCCCACCTGAGGCTCAACACACAAGCACCGAGTCTGTCGTCAAGACAGACTTTCTTCAGGCCCTGGGGGATGCCCCTCTTGCCTTTTAGCTAAGGGTGGCACAGCCTCTGCCCCACACAAGCTCTGTCTAGCTGCAGAGACAAAAGCAAGAAATCCCATTTTGGCCTGGAAACTGCAAAGGCATCGAGCCCAGATCAATAGTCAAGCATCACACACACTGCTGCCAGGGAAAGGGAGCACAGACAGCCCAGTGTGCTCCACCCATCAGCACTGGGGATCCAGTAAGCCCCTCTCCCTGCAGAGCTGCCTGCCAGCCCCATTCCACACGAGCCACCAGCTCCCCTCAGGCAAAGCCACCATCTGCCACACCGGCTCTACTCAGTCTCGGTCAGTCCTGGGAAATGCCTTTGCTGCTGCTGCCACCCCAAGGGTTGGAAGTCCTGGACAAAGGGGGTGAAAGACATCTTCCTGATGGACACTGCCCTCAAAAGGGAGAATTCCATCCCAGCCATGCTGCTTTTCAGCAGGGAATTTCTACTAAACACGTGTCTTCAGCCTATTTAGGAGTAGCTGATCTCTCTCACCTTCCTGTGTGATGCAGATGGAGCCACTGCCCATCCCGACCCTCAGGGCATCAACCCCCGCGTCAATCAGGTTCTTGGCCTGAGCCGCAGTCACCACTGTGGGGAGCAAAAATCGGTTTGAAAGCAGACAAGCACATTTGCAAACAACACTTCTTCCCCATGGCTGCCAGCATCCCCCACCCTGGCTGACAGCCTGTGGCAGAGCCAGGCCTGTCAGGGAGGGGCAGTGAGTTTCTGCTCCAGCTGCCACAGTGGCTGAGGTGACACTGCCCCTTCAGGCTATTCTGCAACTTCTACCCAAAGGCTGAGGCAGCACAAGTCATGGCACGGTCCCAAACACTCTCTGGGCCACATGAGGTAGGGAGGGCAGAGTACAGGGTAACAGCACCAGGTAAAGACAAGGACCACTGGGCTCTGCTGTAGAGAGGCAGGGAAAATTGCCACTAGATTTCCACATCAAGCAGTACTCATTACAAAGCAAAATTTTAAACTGGTGTGTAAAATAAGCTAATGCATAATGTGCCATGGAGAACTGTAACATGCTGTGCTGCAGAACAAAGGTTTTAAGTATCTGCAGCAGTAAGGTACTCCCCTGTGTCTGCAGTGGCCTTTCTCCAGTCAGAGGAAACTATTTTAAGCCCATAGAAATTTACCAAGACGATCGTTTCATTCACATCCCTGCAGCTCCCTCTGTGTCTAAGAAACAAATGTCATTTAAAGACAAGAGTCCTCAACACATGCCTACCGTTTCCTCCAATAACTTGTAGGTTGGGATATTTCTCCTTAATATATTTAATCATATTGATCTGGAAGATGGAATTCCCCTGAGAGGAATCCTGCAACAGAAAGAAAATCAGTTTCAACCAGAATTTCTGCAGATTACAAATGCAGCTTCAGAAACGTTTCAGATTTTCACTCTGCTTGCTGGGGTCTCTGCTAAGCTGAGTAATGGGCAAAATGACTCCCCACATTGGGCATGGAACCCCAGCAGAAGCTGCTGCCAAGATGGGAATGCATTTCCCTGCACAAGGGAAGTACATTGTAAGGACTTCAGTATTGTAAAGACTTCAGTAATATCCTTCAGGTTTAATCCTGTAGCTTCTACAGAAGGCAACAAGCAGAACATCTGGCTGTGGATAAGAACCATCTGGCTCTATCAGCAGGACACTGTCAGTCCTGTCTCAAACTACAGGTGAAATTGAGAATGTTCCTTGTGAAAGCCAGCAGGGCAGGTGGGGGGATGCACCTCCTTACTGTGCAGCAGAGCAGCTCAAATACCAGATGTGGGGCACTGAGCCCTCAGTCCCTGCCAATCTCTGTGACCCAGTCAAATGATGTCTGTTAAACATTTCCCACTGCACAGCCGTGCCCTCAGAGCACAGCACACTCACAGTACCACAATCGATGAGAAAACCATGTGCAAATACAGGCAGTGAAAACTGTGCCTGAAAGTTTACAGGCCAGAAAGGGAGACCAGCAGAGCAGCTCTGGGCTCACTGATCACTCCTGGACATCAGTAAGAGAGTAACACAGTAACAAACACCAAAGGGACGAAGGGAAACTGATAAGCTGAATATTCAAAACTAGTCAGGAACATCAGAGAGGCTGGTGGCAGAGTGCAAGAGGTATTTGTAGAAGATTCTGTATTAACTGATAATATTTCTCTTCACAGCCTTCAGGGCTTCAATGCACCCTAGGAACTCCTTCAGGTCACATAAATCTCCAGGGAAGAAGAATCCCTCCAATCTGAGGATTCCAACCTGAACAAGACTGAGAGGTCAACAAACTGCCCATATTCTAACACAGAAAGGCCGGTGACAAAGACAGTGACATTCATCCAGCCTGGGGACTCAAGCCCCAGTGTCCCAGGCTGACACAATGCCCAGGGGTGCTCACCAGCACGACGGCGTCCACGCCAGCCTGCACCAGCAGGTCCAGCCGGTACTTGTCATCCTCGTGGGTCCCGATAGCGGCACCGCACAGCAGCTGCTTCTTGGAGTCCTTGGAAGCCAGAGGGTAATCCCTGTTCTTCTTGAGATCAGTGCGGGCAATGATGGCCACCAGCTCGTCATCTTCATTAACAATTGGCAGCTTGCCTGGAAACACACAGAGAGAACATCACTGCAGATTTCTGCAGGACACAGGCATTAGCTCAGAGCAGTGCAGCAGCAGGCAGGCAAAAACTGCTACAAGATGGAGACTCGGGTGTGTTACCAAATCTTGCTTGGCCATGGATGCCAGCAGCTCTGGCTTGAGAAACAGAGAAAGGAGTCTATAGGACTGGACAAGGACTCAGTATTTTTACATCAACCATAGAAAATGTGTGCATTTTTTAATAACTAGATGCACAACACCCTGTTAAAAGTGAAACTACTAAACCCTAAGAGGGATGAACTGAGCACTGAAATGCAAAGACCAGGCCAGAAAATCAAAGACGTGGCTGGACAGCCGAACACTGGGCTGCCAAGAATCCCTCAACTCCAAATACATTTGAGATGAAGGCAGGTGAACTCTGTACCCCAGCAGAGGGCTGTGGGCACCGTGTTCACCGCTGTCTCCCATGTTTCACCCACACAGGGACTGTGTGCCCACATTCACCCAGCACTTTCACAGCTCTCCCTCGTGCCACAGACAGCCACAGGTACCTTTTTTACTCCTTTGCAGAATTTCATTTGCTTCCTTCAACATTACGCCAGCTGGGGCCACAACAAGATCTTCCCGCTTTGTCATAATCTAGTGGGTGGGAGAAGATAAAAAGTCACAAGAACTCCTTCACACTGATCTGAAAATACCAAACCCCCCTGCCTACGTGAAACACTCTGCAGTGGCCGTGCAGGAGTGCTCCACAAAGAGCCCACAGCACAGCAACACGCCTCCAGGAACACACGGGAAAAGCCTCCAGTGTGCTGTCCCCATGCAGGCTCTGGCATCAGGCCCCAAGCCCATCAGTGCCCTGAAAACAGGAGATGGCAGAAGGCCTCAGGAACACAAGTGAAAGCACCTGGAACCAGGGACAACTCTCAGATGACCCTTGTTTGGGATATCACCCTAACAGCTCTCCCTTTCATTGGAGCACATGCAAATAAGGGCTGGAGACAGCTTGGGAGTCCCATGCTGTGCTGGCAGAAACGGTGCTGCCCTCAATCTTGTGTTCAGGCAGCATCTCCAGTGCACAGGCCCTGGAAGGGCTCTGCCCAGAATAACCCACTGCTGCTGCTGGTAAGGACAGTGGGGCAAAGGAGTTGCATCAATCCAAATATGCTCAGCCACGCTCACTCTGACAACCAAAACAAGCACCACAACACGGTGGAAAGCAAAGGGCAGAGCTGGACAGTGGGGAACATCTGACCTGCTATGGTGGCTTTCATCACAACAGTGCTCTCCCACTGGGAGGGCAGCTGAGAGAGATAATGAAATCTCCATCCTTGGAGATTTAGACACAGCCCCACAAAACCTCCACCAGCTCAACGTGCCTTGAGCAGGTGGCTTGACAAGGGACCTCCAAGTCCCTTTCCAACCACAGCATTCTGTGATCATCAAGTCCCCATGAAAGGTTATTTGAGAAGGCTGGGCAAAGCTAAAAGGGAGCATTCTCTAACCCTTCAGGAAGGTAGGTCAGTTGCATACAAAGAAGGAACATTTTAGTTATTTATACCATAAGAACAGACATTTTGCATTGGAAAGAGGCTGACCATGCCTCCATCTACCAAAAATGCTGTGACAGAACCCACACCTCAAGAGAAGCCTGAGGCATCACAGACATGTCACAGAACCACAAGGTTAGAAGAGACCTTCAAGATAATCGAGTCCAACCCATGCCCTAATACCTCAATTAAACCATGGCACTGAGTGCCACATCCAGCCTTTTTTAAAACACATCCAGAGCTGGTGACTCCACCACCTCCCCAGGCAGACCATTCCAGGGCTTTACCACTTTTTCTGTAAAAAACTTTCCTAATATCCAACCCATATTTTTCCCTTGCACAGCTTAAGACTGTGTCCTCTGGTTCTGTCAGTTGCTGCCTGGAGAATGAGACCAACCCCACCTGACTACAACCACCTTTCAGGGAGTTGTAGAGACTGAAAAGGTCACCCCTGAGTCTCCTTTTCTCCAGGCTGAGCACCCCCAGCTCCCTCAGACATTCTTCACAGGTTTGTGTTTCAAGCCCCTCACCAGCCTCGTTGCCTCCTCTGGACACAGCACTCGAGATGTGCCCTCACCAGTGCTGAGCACAGGGGCAGGATGACCTCCCTGCTCCTGCTGGCCTCACCATTCCTGACACAGGCCAGGAGCCCTTGGCCTTCCTGGACACCAGGGCACACTGCTGGCTCATGTTCAGCCAGCTGTCACCAGCACCCCCAGGTCCCTTCCTGCCTGGGCACTGCCCAGCCACACCGTCCCCAGCCTGTAACACTGCAGGGGGTTACTGTGGCCAAATGCAGGACTGGGCACTTGGACTTATTAACCTCCATCCTACTGGACTCTGCCCATCCATCCAACTGTTCCAGGTCTCCCTGCAGAGCCCTCCTGCCCTGAGGGACACCCCTGGTGCCTGGCCCCAGCTGGATGCAGCATGAGTCACCACTACTCTCTGGCCCGGCCATCCAGCCAGTTCTGAGCCCAGCACAGAGTGCTCCTGTCCCAGCCCTGGGCTGCAGCTTTGCCAGGAGTGTGCTGGGGGAGACAGTGCCAAAGGCCTTGCTGGACTCCAGGCACTCAACAACCACAGCTCTTCCTGCATCCACCAGGAGGGTCACCTGGTCATGAAAGGAGATCAGGTTGGTCAAACATGACCTACCCCTCCTAAACCCCTTTTGGCTGGCTCTGATACCTTGGCCATCCTGTAAGTGCTGTGTGATGACACTCAGTATGAACTGCTCCATTACCTTACTGGGTACTGAGGTCAGGCTAACTGGCCTGTAATTACCAGGATCCTCCTTCCCACCCTTGTTGTGAATGGGTGTCACATTGGCCAGCTTCCAGTCATCTAGAACAAGCACCACACACTGACAGCAGAAAGTTTCCTGCTCTGCAGTGCTGAATGACCCAAAGAAAGTATGAGGAAAGATCCTTATCTGGCTCCTCTGATGGGCAGCATTGCTTCAAAGGGCCATATGCACTTTTATAACCTGCTCCTAGTTTAAGGCTCTTGTATCATTATCTTGTATTTATAGCTGATTTCAAACCAAACAGGGATCAGCATGTGACACCACGTTTGGTCAGCAAGAGCTAAAAATATTTGTGAGCCAAGACGAAAGCATGGCCAAGAGGCACTGGTGGTGTAACCTGACAGCACCGCAGATCTCCAGTTACAGCTTGTGTAACTGGAATCACAGAACGTTCTCCTGCACAGGGGAGTCTGACAGTGAAGCATTATGAAGTCCAGACTGCAAGTTCAGGGGGTTATTTTAAAGAACAAGTAATCCAGATGATGCATAGAGGGAAAGGCAGCCCAGAAAAGGAAGCTCAGCACTTGGAGAGTTTGCTGGGCAGAGCACAGCTGCTACAAAGCTGGCGGTGCCAGCATGCGGGACTACAGCAACAGCCACAAACACCAGCAATTAATTAGTGAAGCAGGGCTGAGGTTCCACAGCGCTGAAAGATAATCCTCATGATTCACACAAACTGCATGGTCTGCACTGCAGGAGTCGCTCAGAGAGAGCAAATGAGCAAGACACTCTCCCCTGGAAATACACTCACAGACAGATCTGCTGAGCTAAGCTGGAGCTGCTCCCTCCCACTGGCAGAACACCCTCACAGCCACACACTCACCCTTATCCTTATCACAGGCCACACGGCTTCCTAACATAGTGTTCACAGCCCTCAGGTGTGAGCACTTCTCACCTCACCGAGGGGCAGGTCATGCTCTGACTCTTTCAGGAAATCAATATCTCTGGACGAGATGATCCCAACCAGCTTGCCCCCCATCTTCCCATTGTCCGTGATGGGAATCCCACAAAATCCATGACGAGCTTTTGCTTCAAACACATCTCGCACTCGGTCATTGGGGCTCAGCACCACGGGGTCTGTGATGAATCCTTGCTCGTATTTCTGAAAGGAAGCAGATCCAGCAGCCAGGCTGAGTGGCACTGCCAGGCCAGACAGGAGCGAGGCACGTGCCTGCAGGTTACTGCAGCCACTCACACGGGTCTGCCATCACCCAGCCTAGCCACATGCTCACCAACAGGACGACTCTCAAACCAGCAACAAGGCTCACCCAAATAACGTTAACATGGAAGAGCTTCCAGGCTAACCTCCTCCCTGAAATGATGGGGAATATTCCCACACCAGGAGGACTCAAGTCCCAGGCTGACCACAGACAGTGTCTGGCACACAACAAGAGGGCTGTGACTGCAAACCCTGGCAGCACTACAGCTCTGAAACACGAAGATCGGGCACACGTCAGCAATCTCCTCACACAGCTCATTCAGCGAGGCCAGACCCGCTCCCACCTCCACAGAGCGCCCTGTGCCAGTACGGTTTGGTGCTGCCGTTACAAGCACTCACCTTCACCTTCCGCACCTCGTTGGCCTGGAACTCCGGGGTGCAGTTGTGGTGGATGAACCCGATTCCTCCGGTCAGCTGGGGACACAAAGGCGGCTGTGAGTCACCGCAGCCCCTGCCCGCGCTGCACCGGCAGGCTGCAGCAGCGGGGCCGGCACCGATGGAGCTCCGGGCCCGGCCTCGCCCCGAGGCGCTGCGGGACCCCGGGGCAGCCACGCGGGCGCCTCAGGCAGCGTTTCCTGCCCCGCCAGCCCGGTGAGGGCGGCACAGGGGACCCGCCCTCACGGGGTCGCACTCACCGCCATGGCGATGGCCATGCTGGCCTCGGTGACCGTGTCCATGGGCGAGGAGACCAGCGGCGTCTTCAGGGTGATTCTCTTGGTCAGCGCCGAGGTCAGGTCCTGGCGGGGAGGCAGGCGGCGGCGGCGGGTGAGCGGCGGCACCGGCGCAACCCCCGGCCCGGCCCCCGGCCCGCTCCCCCGCCCCGGCCACTCACCACCTGGTCGGCCGTGAAGTCGATGTACCCCGGGAGGATGAGGAAATCGCTGCGGGGGAACGAGGGGAGACGCGTCAGCGACCGCGGCGGCCCCGCGCCCCAGGTCCCGGTCCCGGTCCCACCCCCGTGCCGGCCGCACTCACTTGTAGGTGAGGCCATCGCCGCAGCTGAAGAGCTGCTGAGCCGTCAGCCCGTCGTCAGGCACGTAGCCGGTGCCGCCGCTGATCAGGTAGTCCGCCATGGCCCCGCCGCGTGCCCGCCCCGCCACACCGAGCGCACGCGCGCCCCAACGGCCGCCGGGAGGGACCCGCTGTGCCCGCCCCGCCACGGCGCGGACAGAGCGCCTCCGGTAGGGGCCAGGGCCGACAGCGCCCCCTGGCCCCGCGGAGGGCCCCGGAGCGGAGCAGCACAGCCGCGGCTCCCGGCCTGCGCTGTGCCGGGCGGCAGCGGGCACACACCGGGCACGGCTGTCGCTCTCAGCACCTCCTGAGCAGCTTCTCGGCACCGAGTTCGTACGTCTTCAGCCCGGTGACATCGCGTCATCGCGGCTGTCCTGTACTCAGGTTGAGCAGCCGGGTCCGTGTACCGGCAGGAGGCAACAGGAGAGAGCTGAACTCCAGTGCAGCCCAGTAGGCCCTGCGTGCCAGGCTCCGCCTTGGCTGGCACCAGCTTGTGGCACCAGTACAGTGTGATGCCTGCTGTAAGACCACCTAAAAAAGCCCAGCTACAGATGACATGGTGACATGCACAGACTGTGGGTTTGGAGCTGATTCCAGCTACTCCCACAGCTTGAGAAGGCAAGAATGGGCTTGTTGGGGCGCTGGTGAATGCAGAGCTGGGACAAGCCAGCAGAATCCAAAGCAATTTTGTAAGTCAAAGGGAGCTGCACAAAAGATTAAAGTCAAGAGGCAGCAGCGAGGCCAGTCTTGCACCTTAAAGGGGAATGAAAGGCAGAGAGGCAGCAGTCTCAGCAGACAGAATCCAAGGTGATCCCAGCTAGGCATCAGCCCCCTCTTCCCAAAGCCACCAGGCCAGGCTGTACAAACAAGCAGTGTGAAGAGGACAGCTGCACACTGGGGATGGGGTGTAGCACCTTCAGATCTGTGCCACAGACTGGGGCTGGAGGGAGGATTTTGGAGAAGAGCGGGGGGACTGTGCCAGGAGGAGCAGAACAGGCACAAACACAGATCTGCCTCAGAGGAGCCTTACAGGACACAGCAGTTGGCTTTTTCCAGGATGAGATGTTCCCATCCCTGCAGTTCCATTTGAGCATCAGGAAAAGTTCCTGTACTGCAGGTTACTGAACAACTTCCTCCTCTTGGTTTACTTGTTGTGACATTCCAGACTCAGCCTCAGAGCACAAGGGACATGAGACAACCACACCCCTTCTGAGCGGCTCCCCAGAACACCCTGCCCAAGGCAAGCCCCTGTCTAACACTAACTAGTTCAGGGACTAAAGTACAGTGCAGTGCTCCTGTGCCTACAACTGCCTGCTGCAGAAGGTTAATTCCTTGTTCAAAGATCAGAAAACAGCTTCAAGAAACGTGTTCCTTATGTTGCCCTGTAGGACACAGGAAGTGAACAGAGATCGGAAAGCGCCGCCTGCCAAGGACACGCACCCTCGAGTCAGCATCACCTGTCACAGGATCAGCACAACAGGAGGCATCGTGCCAGACCAAGATCAGCATGACAGGTCTCTCTACCCTTATTTTAAAAAAGAACAGGCTAACAAAGGTTTGCTGAGCCTACCTGGGAGGGACACACAGATCTGAGCTGTTGTGCTACAGGCACAGGCACAGCAGTAAACAGGCGTGTTGGCTTCTGTTCCAACAGAAACATCAGGCAAAGTTTAATGATTCTCAAACAGACTACAACAAAGGCTGCAGGGAAAAACATTTTATTTCCAAGCAGATTACAAAGAGCAGAGAATATAAGAGTAAAATTAAATTAAAAAAATAGTTGAGTGCATCTCTTTAAAATGATTTGTAGTGTGAGTTACTCACGGGGCAAAGCTACTGGAGAGTTCTGAAGGTCACTTTGCAGGATGCCAATCACATGTGCTGTTTAGACCTGGGTCAACACAGGAGGGACAGACAAGATGTATTTTGCATATAGGCTGCACACTCATTATCAAGCGAGGTTTTGGGCTGCAACTGGACCCTGCCTTTTTGAGACATCCCCTCCACCTCATTCTCTCCTGCAGTTCCCTCGAGCTCTAGACATGGTTTATTGCTGCTGTAAGTGGGTTTAATCTGCCTTCCCGTTCTGCTGAGTTCCAACGCCAAAGGAGAAGCAGGCAAACGTGTGTGCCATGCACAAGGTTACAGGGAATGTGACTGCAGCGTCAGAGCAGAGCTTCAGCCACGCAGCAAAGGAAACCAACGAGTAGGGACACAGCAATCGCTTCAGAGATTTGGGGGAAGCATGGCAGCAAGACTTCTGGAAGAATTGAGATGTTCCTTAAGGTAGGAAGAGGTATAAGCAAGAAGGGCTCTTTCCTAAGCATTGGCACCAACAAAACAGAAGAGGCTGAATCATCAGGATAAGGTGCATTCCCTGTAATGTTTGAGAGGAGCAGCTCCAGCAACAGGATGGGGAGAAAAGCCCCCTATATGGTGGAAGACAGTTGATATCCCACTTTAAGAGTGATTTAGGAGTCCAAGCGCTAACTCCAAGTCAGTCAGTGTTAAACTTGGGTAAGAACGTGGTATGGCTGGACAGCTGCACAGCCATTCAGTGTCCAGCAGCACTCAGTCCAGCAAGAGGACGAGAAACTACAGTACCAGCAATCCTCCAACCCCTGTACACTCAGGGGGCTCTTTTCTACCATTTCTGGATCTGCTCTTATCATAGCATAGGAATATTTGAGGCCTCATCCCTTCTATGTATGCCAAGGCAGACAGTAGCCCTGATGCAGCTCAGAACAAGACTGTCTTAATTTCTGCCCTAGCAGCAACAGTACAGAAGAGGATTCTTATTTAGAAATCAGATTAAGTCTTTTTGTATTGTCCAAGGCAGAACAGTTCAGGAACTACTTCAGATCTTGTGACCCCTCTGAAGTCTAAACCTCTAGGGGAGAGGCAGCCAACAGGTGAGAGCCCTATGAAGTTCTTAGACCATTTCCTTTATACACTGCTTTAGACAGGAGTGAAGAATCACTCCCTAGTCTGCTCTCCGCTGCTTCAGCCATTACCACTTAAAGAGGAAATGCTTGACCTCTTGAAAGCAAATGAAAATCTAATGGTGCTGTGGACACGTGTAAGAGGCTACAAGTTCCCTAACGAAAGCAACACTGCTAAACGTCAAGAGCTTGGACAATACATGAGTCTCATGTCAGAATGTGAGGTGCTTTACAACAGTCTCTGCTTTCTATGGTTCCTTTCATACCAAAGTGACAAGATGGGCACAGTTCAAAATCAACAACACAGGGTCTCTAGCTTGACTTCTCAGCTCTATTCATTTAGAGATGGATGCATTTTGAGCCTGTCTCGTACAAGGCATAGGGCACAGAGAGTTCCTGTCAATATATACACGCATACAAGAGCAGTACAAGCAGTTTGGCACTCTCAGAGCCAAGGGGGAATGCCCTTTAAGCAGCAGTCAAGCTGGTTATAGGAAAGTGTTAAAAAGCTATTTTACATGTTTGACTGGGAACATTTCCCAGAATGTGGATAGCAACCCTAAGCCACAGCACTCTTCTGTGCTACTCTGTGCACGTCTTCCTACGAGCCCCTACAAGGGAGCAGATCATGTTCTTCACTATCAAAGAACATGGTATTTAAATTCTAGAAATACTGTACCTTTTAAGCTAGCTCCAGAGAGACAGACTAGAAGCCAGATCCAGGAAAATAATCCTTAAGTCACAGTATATCGATTGTCTCTAAAAATAGGGAATGAAGTGAACACAGTGGACATTCTGATGAGACAGTACAGAACAGTGCAGCAGTCCACTTCTGCATCAGCAGATCCTCTCCTATGTACATGTGGACAATGAGAAAGAAATGGAAACACTCCAGTCCATCAATCATCAGGAGATCTCCACAGCTCACTATGTGCCTAGTTTCCCTGTTCTTAACCAGTATCCTCCAAGGAGAACTCTTCCCCCTACAAAGACTTGAGATCATCTTGCAGTTAAGAGTAGTAAGAAAAGTGCACAATCTAGAATTTTAAGGTAACATGGAATTCTGTTTCCCCAGAAAGCTCAGCTGAAGTTCCTGTCAATGTGTAGTGTTAAGAGGTGACTCTCAAGGCTGCCCAGTAAAACAACTGGTACAGTGTGGATTTGGCAGATTATTTAATATCTGCTGTATTTTGATGGAGACAGCCAAGGCAGCAGGATTTCCAACTCTGCTCTGATGATGGGACAAACTGCCCAAAAGAAAGGGAAAGCCACTCTGTGGATGCCTGTTGGGCACACCCTGTGCAGCAGGCACATGCAACTGCTTGGAATAGTGGAGCCTGCCCCAGCCATATCTTCAAAGACTGAAAACAGGGCCAAAGATGGACGTGCCAGTCACTGTGATACGGTGAAAGGAACAGAGGTTTCTGACAGCTGAAGCAGTACTGGTGATCCCAAGAGCCACCCTACAATGGGGCAACTGCTGGCTCCCAGCAGACAAACTGAGGTCCCAGTACTTGCTGCCAGCACTACACCCACCCTAAGCACCATCTTCCCAGCTGAGCCACTGGGATCTGAGCAGTGATCCCAGGCTGTTTTCCTCTGGCCTAGTTCTGAGGGCAGACACTGAGCTAAGAGTCTAAAACAACAACAGTGCATTGCTACTTCACCTCTCTGCACACACCTACTTGAGCACAGAGTCCTGCAGAGGGAACAAACTGCTCACACTGACACTAACTCAAGCACACCTGCTCCCTCAGAAACACCAACATCAATATGAAGCATCAGGGCCTTGGGAAGCCTCTCTAAGCTGCACACCTCAACACTGCTCACAAGCACAAAGACAGGGAACATTGGCTACTCTCATCAATTTACACTCTTGCACAACCAACAGAGAGGGCAGACCTTCCTTCTCAATACAGATAGGTGCTGGACAACAGAGGCTTCAGGAAAGTTGCTTGCCTGTACACAAGTTTAAGTTCTTTTACTGCAATATATATCTAAATATTTATCTGTGTATTTTGGAACAGGGAAGGGACATGAGGTGGAGAAGCAGGGAAGACAAGTTCAAGAAGCAGAGTAATTTCTCTGCATCCAAGAAGCTGGTGGCACAAGTAACAAGCCTGGCAAGTGATCTCCCATTTCAAGCACAGTTGGCTA